TATCGTTATCGTTACTAGAAAAGTAACGATATCGTAATTACGTTTTTGTAATACTAAAATGAGTTTAATTAGATTTTGAATTTAAATAGTTAATAATCATTATTAAATGTAAGAATAAATATTGAAACTTGAAATACACTAAATTAGTCTGCGTTATATATCGAACAAGTTTTTCTTTATATAGTATATTTTTATAGAAAGTTACATTAAATTTAATGTTTTCAAATATTAATGTCATTTTTAAGAATGCATTCCAATATTCATTATTAATACTAATTGTACTATAATTGTGTATAAGTACAAGGAGAATTATAGATTTTCACACACGATATTAGTAGGTTATTATAGGAGTACAGCCTAAAAAGACAAAATATTTTTAAAAAGTAAATTAAAAGCATATATTACAAAATAAGAAAAAAGTAGAAAATAGTAATTATAAAAGTAATGGCAAATTCGTTACCGTTACTATAAAACGATGTCACAGTTATTCTTACAGATAAAAAAAAATAATGATCGTTACTGAGAAAAGTAGCAAAAATGATAACAGTGTTACAAAAGTAACGCGTTATTTCGCGGCAACTCTGGATAAGTTAGAATAAAGATTGGATGTCTGTTGAAATTTGTAACTCCAATTAAAGAAAGTCAAATAAACTATACTGCTACTACTATATTACAGAACAGATATCTGTGGTCTAGTGTGTTTTTCTAATTCTATGTATTCCAGTTATTATTATATATATTTAATAATTTACAATTCTTTTCCGTTGTTTTCAATTTAATTTTCAAAGTTGTATTTAAAAATTTTCTAATTTTACTTGGAAACTTATTGAATGTCATATAGGAAATAATTATCAAAAGTGAATTTATCGCGATTTAATGATTAAATTTTTAACTACATCTTTATCTGCATCTTTCTTAATAAAATTGGCTTTTTCAAACCTTGTAAAGAAAATCCTCGAATACCCACCCTGTTGATAACAAAATGAGACTGACCTAAATCTGGTTTATAGAAAATACACACACACACACACAC